TCACAAAGGAAGTTTTTGGAGATTATATGGGAATTTGGAAAATTGTCATAACATGTCTAGTTGTAATCCTAATAATTGATTTAGTGATAAGATTGGCCGTAATTGTGTCAAAGAGCTATATAGGTAGCCTATTAGAAATTGCACAGCCATTTAAAGGGAGAATAACAAGGCAAGAAAGTGTAGCAAGGACACCTAAGAAAGTAAAATCGGTACCACTAAAAAGAATGTCCATGATAAAACAAAGGAAAACGAGTGTACGTAAGCAGAGCAACTGGATTCCTCAAGTATCACAAATACCTCCAATAGAAATAAATGTTCTATCCACCCAAAGTGAAAATGCGGCCTCGGCCAAAAATAAATTAAATATTAACGCTACCTCTCCCAATACAGCAATTACTAGGGTATCAGTCAATAGTAAACCTGTGAATTGTCTTATCGACACTGGTGCAAGTATATCCATAGCTCCTATCTCGCTTGCAAGAGAATTAAATATAGGACTTACCCCTACTTGTTTAGCAATCACTTCAGCCTCGGGTCATGAAATTTTAGTCAAGGCACAAATGAAATGTTGTTTAGAAGTAGCTGGTCTAAAGCATACAGTCGATGTTAATTTGGTAGAAGATAAGCAATTAAATAATAAAAGAAATTATCAAATGATAATTGGATGTGATCTTTTGGGTAAACTACCACCTGTCACTTTTGACTTTAAGAATGACAAAGCGTGGTTTGGTAATTCCGCAGTATGCCTCGGCATAAATAATCAACCTTTAATAGAAAATGCGAAAATTTATGCAATAGAAGCCACAACTATTCTCCCTGGGTCACACAAAATTGTCAAAGGAAAATTAATGTCTATGAATAAAATAAGCAATGCATTAATTCATGCTCTAGAAAATCGTCTAGTAGATGAAAACATTGGATTAATTCCAACAGTTGTGGAACCAAAGGACAATTCTGTATGTGTTTTGTTGGCCAACCCCACAAATGCCCCAAAGCATATTTTTAATGGAATGCACATAGCATTTGCAGATGAGTGTGTAGAAAGCTGTGAAGGTCCTTGGTTAACCCAATATCAAGATAAAAGTGAAATAGATGCTTACAAAGTAAATAACTTGGAAAGTGATAAAACATTCAAAATAGATTTCTCAAAAAGTTCAGTAGTAGGAAATGATTTAATTAAGCTTCAAAATCTTTGTGAAGAATTTTCGGATGTCTTCAGTAGAAGCCAGTATGATTTAGGGTCGTGTATAGTAGGAGAACATGATATTTTGACCACAACTGAAACTCCTATTGCCTCTAAACCCCATAGAGTCCCATTTAAATTTCAGAGTGAACTGCAAGAAAATATTAACAAGCTTCTAAAATCAGGAGTGATGGTAAAATCTGACACTCCGTGGGTTTCAAACATAGTGTTAGTGCAGAAAAAGGACGGCGGGCTTAGGCCTTGTATAGACTTTAGAAAATTAAATGAAGTTACAGTACCGGACCATTTTCCCCTACCTAGGTTGGAAACAATTATGGAAAAAGTAGGAGGTTGTCACTTTTATTCATCTCTTGATCTCTCAAGTGGATATCTTCAGATAAGATTAACTGAAAGAGCTTCTAGGAAATGTGGTGTAATTACAGAAGACGAAGTGTACCAAATGACCCATATGCCTTTCGGTTTAAGAAATGCAACTAGTGCGTTCGCTAGAGTAATGGCGCATGTAATCAGTGGATTAGAAGATTGTGTGTTAACTTATGTTGATGACTTTCTTGTATTTACAAAACCAAATGACTTTGACGTGCATCTCGATGCCTTAAAACAAGTATTTGAGCGATTAAGAAAATTTTCATTAAAAGTCAGTCCCAAGAAATGCGTATTGGGATCAACAAAAATGCACTTCTTAGGGCATATAATTAATTCCTCAGGCTACACACCAAGCCTAAGCAAAGTGGAAATAATAAAGAACTTAGCAGCACCCACTAGTGTCAAAGAAGTCAGGCGAGTAGTAGGAATGGCCTCATTTTTCAGAAAGCATATTCAAAATTTTTCAATGATAGCAGAACCATTGACCAGGCTAACTCGCAAAGAAAATTGCTTTAAGTGGGAAGACGAGCAACAAAGAGCGTTTGATAAAATAAAAGAAATATTGACGAATGAACCAGTCCTGACCTTTCCAGATTATAGTAAGCCGTTCCACATTTTCACTGATGCTTCTTTAGTAGGTCAAGGAGGGGCACTAATGCAAAAGAATGAAAATAATCTTTTTCAAGCCATAGCATATTGCAGTCGAACATTAACCACATCAGAAAGGAAGTGGCCACCAGTACAAATTGAGCTAGGTGCGATAATCTATGCACTTAGGCAATTTAAACCTTTTATTTATATGGCAGAAGTCGAGCTTCATACCGACCATAAGCCATTGGCATACCTTCTTGAAAAGGCGCAGGCTCACCCAAATTTAGCACGCTGGCTCATTGAACTTCAGAATTATAATATAAAAATTGTGCATGTTTCTGGAAAAGAAAACCTCTTAGCAGATGCGCTATCAAGGGTATTTAAGACAAATGACCCCAAGGAAGTAGAAAATCTCGAAGAGCTTGAAGACATTGCCGAGTTTCCCGTGTGTTTAGCCTTAAGAGCTAAGTCGCAATTAGTTGTTGATGAGTCTATAGCTGCATTTACTTTAAGAAAAGAGGATGGACAAAATTATACAATTGATATTAGGCATGAACAAAGTGAAGACCCTGAGGCTTCGGCCCTTATTAAATTTTTAAAGACTGGGGAAATTCCAGAAGAAATTCCGCAGAATGAAATAGAAAAATTTGTAGTATCAGCAGAAAATCTTCAGATAATAGGGAACATACTTTGCCATAAATTGCCGAACATGAATCCCAGAATATTTGTACCCGTCTCCCTTAGAGCATTAATCTTTGAATCCTTTCACTCCTCGCACCTGGGCGGAGGACACATGAGTATGAAAAAGACATTAAAGAAATGCAGAAAATATTTTTGGCACAGAATGCACGCAGATATACTCACTTGGGCGCGCAACTGTATAACCTGTCAGCTTCGGCACTCTCCAAATCCCCCTTACAGAGCTGAAATGCAGATGGCTCCTCCAAATACACTCTTTGCAAAAGTAGGAATTGACTTAGCGGGTCCCTTTCCGATGACTCAAAATGGAAACAAATATATAATGAACATTATTTGTTGGTTCACGAAATATGTAATCTCAGTACCTGTTCCCGACGCAAAAGCACTAACGCTAGCAAAGACTTTTCTCACAAGTTGCTATCTAAGGTATGGCGGATGTATTGAACTAATAACAGATAATGCCACGGCATTCACTAGCGAATTTTTCAGAAATTTCTGCTCCATGTTGTATATAAACAAAAGCTATGCAATCCCGCACTGGTCCCAAGGCAATGCAGTCACTGAACGCTCTTTTAGAACTTTTCATAATATTCTTGCCAAGTATATAAATAAGGAACAGCCCGACTTTGACGAATTTGTAGACATAGCCAGCTTTTGCTATAACACATCAATTCATGCTTCAACAGGAGAAACACCTTTCTTTTTAATGTTCGGTAGAGATCCAATTTTCTGTGTAGACCAAATTCTCGATCCCAGAGTTCACGACCCAGTAGCCCTAACTGATTTATCTGAATTCAAGCAAAAACTAGTAGTCTCATTGAGGAAAGCATGGGAAGCCGCGGACGAAGCAAATAAGGAAGCCCAATTAAAGTCAAAAGCCCAGTACGACAAATTGACTAGAAACCCAACAGTAACTGTAGGTGACAGAGTATTATTGAGGAATTATTGTGGCAAAGTAGGTACCTCAAAGAAATTTCACATGCCCTGGAAAGGTGTACTCAGAGTGGTAAAAATAGATGGAATTTATGTTACTATAGTTAGTTGTAATGCTCCGAGTGCGATACCGAAGGTTGTTCATATAAACCAGTTAAAGAAGTGCTTTGAAGACTTACCACCGATAGTAACAGTCCCAGAATTAACTCAAGATGAGGAAAAAGCAATTAATGACTCAAACAGTCAGGAACCAATTACAACCACTCCAATAGAGGAGAATTGTCCTGAAGATAATATTAGTAGGGAACCCAATGAGAAAAGGTACAACCTCCGTAGGAATCCCAAAGCCAGAAGGCTCTCAATAGAATAAACTCACACTCTTAATTATATTCTAATTATTTTTTTAATCTCTTTCATAATCATTTCTCCCAAACTTTACACTTTACTCTCACACATTTAAATTTTTTACGCGATTTTAATTTTATTTCTCAAATTTTCAAATTTAATTTTAAATTAATTTTTTTTTAGAAAGATAATGTCTAAAAATCTTAAAATAAAAGCAACTAAAACTAAAGTATTTGAGGCTGCAATGCAAGGAATTGGATCCTCGTCAACAGCTTCTTTAGGGACTTCGGTCCAAAATAATTTGTGTGAGAGCGAGAAAAACGTTGGGACTTCGGTCCATTTACAAAGTGAAAAGGAGAGAGAAATCTCTTTAAAAAATCTTACCATTTCAGATAATGCTTCAATCGAGAAAGGGACTTCGGTCCATGATAAAATTGCTAGTGAAGAAAAACTTTTGGAAGATGTGAATGTCATTGATCCAGAGAAAATTACTGAAAGTTTGGAGAACTTAGTCTTGGGGGCTGAAAATGAAAATACTGAAAAAGAAGAAACACTGAAACAAGCACTGGATGAATGGGAGAAATCAGGTAATTCGTGGGGAGAAGAAAATGAATCACAAGACTTCGGAAACGGTGGGTTTAGTGGGGCCTCGGCTCAAAATAAAAATAATTTTACAGAAGTTAAAAGTAAAGGGAAGAAGAATAAAGAAGAAAAGGAAGAGCCAAAAGAACGAGTACCAAAAGGAAGACGTTATGTTATTTCACAGCTTCAAGAAGCCAGACTTATTGCAGTGTCGACATCCCCGAACAAAGAAGATGAGTGGCCCCTATTCATTGAAATTCCTTGGAATGTTCTAGTTGAAATGAATAATGAAGATGCGACAGATGCGTGCGTTGGGGATGACATTTACATTACTAAATTCCAGCTTCGTACCGACAAATTCCGAACCTTGAATGAGAGTACATGGTTTTATCAGGGCAATATTAATTGGCAAGCCACGGCGACAGAAGTAGAAATGGTTGGAATACAAGAGTATAGAATGAAGACGGGTTTTGTTGTTGAAACGAGGAAAAGGGGAAAGGATGGGAAGACAGGTTCAATTCGAGTTATTGCTTTTGGAATGGAGCGGACTTCGGTCCTTTATAAACGTCAGTGTGTAGAAGTGGATTGGGACAACTTAAAGAAGGGAATGTTTATTGATGTAGCATTGGCACCCATTGAGGAAGGATGGTTAATTGGTCCGAACTATATTTTACCTCCGGGATGTAATTTCCGACTTGGAACAGAAGTATTAGCAAGATCAAATTCTAAAATAGCCACAGCTGCAGGTTCATTTGAGGGTGAATGGCGTTGGACAGCAGCGTCTGGCATTCCAAGAGTCTTCCCGATAACTCAACAATACACGATGGACGAAATTCATTTAGCTGAGACCCTTATCGCAGCAGCTCTAATTGTAGCAAGCGAAGAAGAAGAGACTTCGCGCATGGAAACCACGTACGTAGGCCCGTTAACAAGAGTGTCGGAAGAAAATCGTCGCAACTTTACAATTATGTTCGCCTCGGCGGAAAAGAAATTTATTAAGAAGGTCACTGAAATTTGGTCCAAAGATTCAAATATTTCTGCTCAGACATCGTACAGATCCAAAGCTTTTGCCCAAGGACATGTTAATGAAGTAAGAAAATTAGAGTCGCAAGACAACAAAATCAGAATCGAAGTTGAGATCACATTAGTCGTAAATCAAGGAAAATTTGACCACCAAGATGACTTTGAGTCAATGCTAGAAGGATCATCAGTAATATTGCGTGTTAGAGAAGGAGCGGGCGGCTTTCGTATGCAAGCTGAAACTTTCGGATTTCATCTCCCAAGCACTGTCTGTGAACGAGACACCCCTCAAGCCGAAATTGTCAAATCGCTTTTGGGCCGATCAGGGACGATCGACCGCGTTGATGAGAGTGAATTGGATAATCTAGATTTAAATATGGAATGTGTGCGTCAACTGAATGACAAACAGCGACACACTCTTGTTCATTGGCTGAATCCCGGGGTGGGGCGCGTCCACTTCACCCAGGCCCCACCCGGGACGGGCAAGACCAAGATCGCAGCCACATGCATTGCAGCAGCGTTGCGAGTGGAGCCAGAAAGCGCAGTGTTGGCCTCGGCCATGAGTAATCTTCCAGTGACGAAACTCGTCATCGAATCAGCCAGAGCAGAAGTGGCGGTGGACATGGTTGCATTCTTTTCTGGATCAGCGCGTGTGAGGTATGGTGAACAAATCGGACAGCTGGAAGAATATTTGTTGGAAGCTAAACTAAGAGGGGAGGAGTACAAGCAGTCTTTAGAGAAGAGTGAAGCGAGAGAAGTTGAAGAATATTTGAAAGTAGTTCGTCCGCAGCCCCGTCACGCAAGAGAAAAGGCAGTAGGAGAAATTTTGATGAGGAGCGACTTCCATCGAGTAGCCTTTGCGACCACATTTATGTCCGCAGCCATCACAGGAGCGCACAGACAGACAACGCATCTCATTCTGGATGAAACGACACAAATCCCATTTTGTACCGTCATGCATCTGGTTTGTCACATGCCCGCTTTGAAGTCGGTCTTATTGACTGGCGATAAGCGCCAGTTGGCCGTTCATTTAGCTGAATTGGAAGAAGTAATCCAGAGAGGCTTCGGCCTTGAATCAATAGTTGAACAAGTTGAAGAATGCACGCGGGTAACTACCACTACTCTTGAAAGGTGCTACAGAGCGCACCCAGCAATCGTTGACTGTTTTGACTTCGCGTCTTATCGTCAGCATGGCGAGCGTGTAATAGCAGCAGTAACCGCGGAAGAGCGCGCTGGTTTAACGAATTCTGGAATTCATCTCCCAGTCAATGGCATTCCAGTTGTGTTGATTGATGTTGAAGGGCAAAATATTCAGGATCCGACTTCATTCAGCCTAGAATGCCCTGAACAAACTGAAGTGGTGCTTCGGCTCGTAAAAATCCTGGAACCGCGCGATCCAAACATTGTCATCATTTGCTTATACACCTACCAAGCCGAGATCATAAGGCAATCACTTCGGAAAATTGATAGTCGTGTGGCTGTACATACGTGTGACAGCTTTCAAGCTCAGGAACAACGCATTGTAATTCTTGTTACCACGCGCACACTCACAAAAGGCACCAGAGCAACCTCGGACTTTATTAAGGACACGCAGCGAGCGACGGTAGCTTTGTCGCGTTCTCAGCATGGATTATTTGTAGTTGCTGATTTTGAAGCGATTAAAGAGGGCGAAGTGTGGCGGCGCTTTATGCAGCAAGCAGAAATGTTCACCCCAATCGTAGACAGCAGATACTTAGAAGTGATGGATCTCCCGAAGAGTGCTAGGGGCTTTGGCGGAGTTTTAAAGGATTTACAGGGACGTTCCGTGCAATCAGACAGGTTGAGACTCCAATTGGAGGGGCCAAGTGTGCAACAACCGGAACAACCAGCAGGAGAAAGGCGAACAGATCAACGTGGACCACCAAGAGCTGTGAGATGTTATCAATGTGGTGGCAAAGGACACTTAGCGCGCGAATGCAGACGTGTTTGAAGAAAGTGCGAGGCGGACAAAACAGAAGAGGTAGAGATTTAATTTAAATTAAAAATAAAGTGACTTCGGTCAAATATAAATAAACGTGTGTAAAAATTAGTTGACCTCGGTCAAAGATAAAAATAAAATTGGCGAGGGAATGGACACTTACAAACTTGTACACTCAAGGATTGGAATGGTCAGGTAAAAGACCAGGGACGGTCTTCCCCGGGGTTGGAGATGTAAGGCGGAAATAGAATTGAGAAATATTAAATAAAACTTTCCCAGCGACCCCGCCTATCCATAACCAATATATTCCTAGGAATAAGCGAAGAAAAGGAATCAGTCAGTCAATCAGTCAGCTTATTAGTCAGTTAATAATAAAAGTGAATTAATATATTTATTGCCCGATCGGAGGAACTAGTCGTCGCCCGTTTAATCGCTCTTAAGGAGTGAGCGGTGAATATTGTCCGGCCGGACTACTAACAACATAATTAATTAGTATTCCCTCATATTCTATTATCCTGGGCTCTACACTGGGTATGGATTCAGCAAGCTTCTTCTTAATATTGAAGTTTTATAACAATTACCATTTTCAATAAAATTACAATTTCGGAGTACCTTAAATTTAACACAATTTAGAGTTATTATAGAGGCCGATTTCTATTTTATTGCTGTTAATTTTTTGTTTGGTATCTAGTTGTGACACTAACAAATAAGCAATTGAAATTCTATTAATAAAATATACCATTTTTTCAAACCCAGGCAGAAAATTTTGAATTATTTCATTATTAGTAATTTCAATCAAAATTTTCTTTTTTAATTGATCAGAAGAAATATATTCTGATTTATCAAATAGTTCAACTTCAAACACATTTTTATCTAGATTTAAATAAATTGAACGCAAATATCCTTCTATATTTTTATTAAAACCATCATGTTGATTATTTTTCTTTTCAACTACCCTCACCACATAACGATCCTTTATTTCAAAATTTTTTAAATAGATAAATTCTCTTTTTTCTTTCCAATCATCACTAATTTTCACTTTCACACTAATAATTCTCCCTAAACACCGAATTTTCAAAAGAATAAATAAATATATGAAAATTATATAATTAAATTTAATCATCTGAAATTTGAAAATTAAAGCTGCTTTTTTGTTGCGGACCCATAAATGAGGACCGAACTAACGGTCCGTCAGTTGTGGGACCCGAATGAATTTTAAAAAAATTATGTAAAAGACCTCTTTATTTAAAAAACCACCTCCTACAAATTTTTTACATCTGATTTGGCATTTTTTTTATTAAGCGGAAAAATAATAAATTTTCCCGCTTTTATTAAGCGGGAAAATAAATAAAATAGGTCAAATTTTGAAATTTTTGTTTACCAAAAAATTAGAAAGTACATATGATTAAATTCAAAAGAATCTGATCTTTGAATGTAATTGTACTTTTATGCACAATTTTATGTACGAATTTTTACCCTTGTCACGTGTCAAATTCACTTAATGTTTGTGTTATTCTAAAAGAATAGGGTAAAGCATATAGCTATTTAATTCATAAATTATTGAAGGAGGAGGTTGATTATGTAAAACATCATTCCGGTGAACATAAAAAAGATTAGCTAAAGGGGAACAATTAGCCCATTTCATCTTAATTATATTTGAAGTAATTTAACTACTTAAAAATCATTTTTATTCTTATATTAAGCGTCACCATAGGGTATACATATTCTAAGGATCTTAGAATAAAAAATTCTACTTTCATTGTTTTAAATATCCCTTTATTATATATTTTAATCTAATCGAGGTCTTATAAATATTATCTCGGAATTCCGATCCTCTCAAGGTTAAAGAACATAGAGGAATTGCCAACTACTCACTTTCTCTGCTCTATTCTAAAAATATCAATACGGATGTGTTAAAAGTGCATATGCATCATATTTGAAGCTGATATTTGGTCACTCACATAGGTAGAGGAAAGGGCGGAGATTTAAGTATACTCGTAATTTTTCACTCTCTATTTCTAAACTCTTCCCCTCCAAAGCTCCATTTAAAAGTCAGTCAGGACTGTCAATAAATTCATATACATTTTAAAATTATTAGCAAACTTCTTTATTTATTGACTTCTTTATTTATTGATTCTTTGATTAATGTCTCAACATGTTAAATTATAATTATTATTATCCCGCCTTTATAAAAAATGATAATTATGTTAATATTTAATAGTCATATTAAATATTTAGTAGTCATTAAAACTTTAAGGCCTAAAAATAGTCTCACAACAAATGCTAGATGTAATGTCCCGTTCACAAAATTTTTGCCTGCGGCGCTGAAAAAAGAAGACAAAAATTTTTGGCGTCTTCCACAACAAAAATTTAAGTGTAAATTTCCAGATAATTGTTCGGATTTCTATAAGATTATTATTAGTGATAAAAAATTGCATAGTTCAATTGTTGAAGTCAAAAAATATAACGCATAAATTTTTTGCGGATTTTTCTTATCAAATGCGGATTTTTTGATCAAAATTGCGGATTTTTAAAAATTCGAGATCGAAGCCCTGTTCTTATAGCAAATGCAAAAATGAGAAAATCACAAAACCAGTCTTGTAGCGGTTTCGAACGATTTAGAGGCCCTAATATAATTCTTAAACATCAAAATTTAAAAAAATTGCAGGGACAAAGGGACTAAGATGGTTTTATAAAACCTTGCAATTGACTTAAGACTTTTCTTGGTTCTTTTTCGAACATGGGTTGTACTGGCTATTTAATGTTTTCTGACTCTAACTCAGAACATGTACAAACTCGGTTCTAGATAATGAGTAATAACACTCTAGGAACCTATACTTCTATTATGCGCCGCTGCGAAACTTTTCAAAATTTTGAATGAAAAAGTAGTTATTGAACAGCCTTCCCATGTTGTAGAAAGATTTCAAAATTAAGGTTGTAAAATTCTGGCGTTTTGGCACGCCTAATTATAAAAATCAAGCCAATCGTCAGAACGCTAAAATGTCATAGCTCCCATCTCTGCAAACGCTCACGCTATTTGAGTCTCCCAGTGGTCTCCAAAAGCTACTCCTACTAAAAAGTGAATCCTATAAAATAAAATTGTGATGTTTTACATATTTCACAAAATTTCAGATGAATAAAGTTAATTTGAGCATTCGCTTATATTTAATTATTTTATTGAATTTTCATTGCGTCGGAAAACAAATACGTGTTGAGTTAAAAATCAAAGATGACTGGGAAGGAAAAAGAGAATTTATTTATTTAATAGATGTTGATCTGAAGGATCGTTTTGTTGTGAAAACAATCGAAAAGCATAACAATGCATATTTCGGTTCCAATTACAATTTGGAGGGATTTACGCGTTTGGTTGACATGGATCTCGATACAAATATTTTTAAAAATATTGTATTAAATGTTCGCCTGACAAATCCAAAATTTTTATTAAAAAGGAAAATTGTGATTGAAATTGACAACAATAAAATTATTAAAGAAATTTTACAAGGATTTGAAAAACGGGTATTTTATGCTTCATTAATCAAACTTCACATGATAAAATAAAATACAAGTGAAGTTCTATTAATCATGCTGATATGATTAACTTATTCTATAATAATCGAAATCGAGAATAGAAATTGAAAACCTATAAAGTTACATGAATATTATAAGAATAATTTATGTTTATAGTGTCATTTCCAGTCCCCCTTTTTTCCTCCACAATATTTTACCCTATATTTGTACGGAATGTTCAAATCTTCCCCTTTCTTTCATCAAATTTGCCTTTCTATATTTTGCTAAAATCAATCAAAAATATTAATCTTTTATTCAATTTTTACAAGGATAAAAAATAGACATGATGATGAAAAAAGTGAGACATGATGATCTCATACTTTCTTAAATATTACAAAATAATCT